TTCTCTTTCCTAGAGTACTCTGCCTGTTAACTGGTATCCCTGCTTTCAATCTTGCCCCTCCATTAAGTAAATAAAAGGTGTGCATAAATAAGATATCGGTAATATTTCAATGAAGAGTTTACCAGAAGGGAGTCTGCAACACTGAAACTCAAATCTCATGTGCAAAGCACTGACATGTGGGAAAAGATGTGGAAATGACTGTTCTACATCGGCAAAACATAAAAAGCCTAAGAAATCAAATCAAGTCATGGATGTTAGGTTGCTCCAAAAACTATAATGCACTATATAAAATGAAAGATACCGTTACTGATGTTGAATTCCAGTAACCAGAAGAAATGTGACCCAACACAGCAGAATTATGCAATTTTTGCCCTTATATTCACCTGACATTCAATAATACTATAGGAACCACTAAGGGTCCTTTCTAAAGTGCTTCCCTGGGTACTTTCCTCATACATACAGTATCTACTTCTGTTTCATTACATCTTCAAAAGTTTGTGCATAACCTACAAGCTATCAGAGCAAGCCCAGGAAATGTTACCACAGAGATGAAAATAAAATGAATGTACTTTCTCTGTATTTGCACTAATGCAATAAAATCTAACTAAAAATTTTGCCAGTATGAAGCATGGTCCACAACCTTATAATACAGTTTATTAGCCAGGATATTAGGAAGTTAACCTATTTAGTTTTTGGTTGTGGAGATTTTATTTCCTTCTTTTATAGTTCAAGTAGAAACTGAAGAGTAGAGAAACTAGACTATGGTGATGAAAGACTAAATGAAGAACAGTGATAGGAGTGATACAGAAGGTCCAATGCCAAGAGGAAGATTAATCTGACTTCTGCTAAGCCTGGCCATATTATTCTTGATATTTCCTTATTACCAAGAACATCTATTAAAGAAAATATGTCAGTTCTCACAGTAAAAAATCGGAAGCTTTAATTTCAAAACTGGGATATGTTATCATACCACAACAGCAATACAACAATATCTAACATTTAATGAGCACTTACTATATGTCAGGTACTGTTTTAAATGTTTTACATGGATGAACTCAATCATAACAATTCAATCAGGTGGGTACTATTAATATTCCTATTTTATAGAGGAAGAACTGTAGAGAGTCTACGTAACTTGCTCCAAATCAAAGAGCTAATAAGTGATGAAGTTTGGATTTGAATCCTGAAACTTTCCATACTAGTTCACCGCAGTGGTTTTCAAATTACATCTGCAGAACCTTTCAGCTCCAGTATTCAATTTTCAAAATATATTTTGTCCACTTTAAAAACTGCACTAAAGGGGCACCTGGGTGGCTCAGTGGATTAAAGCCTCTGCCTTCGGCTCAGGTCATGATCTCAGGGTCCTAGAATCAAGTCCCACATCAGGCTCTCTGCTCAGCGGGGAGCCTGCTTCCCTCTCTCTCTCTGCCTGCCTCTCTGCCTACTTGTGATCTCTCTGTGTCAAATAAACAAAATCTTTAAAAAAATAAAAATAAAAACTGCACGAAAAACATCACCTCAAAATATGCTGTATTTCATGCATTGAAGGGAACACTTAACTTTTTGCTGCTAGGCTGTCACTTCTGTGGAGATCTTGGAATAAAGCTAGTCCTGTCACCTCTGCCATCTTATCTGAACGTCCCATAAATGTTTCATTGATTTGGAAGGTGTAATTCTGTCCAGGTTTTTTGTTTGTTTGTTTGTTTGTTTTTAACTCAAGTCTAGATCTTTCTGCTCAGATAAAAGTGTACATTGAGCATACAAATGCTATACCAGGCAAAGTTCAGGTGCATCTTATCACAGCACAAGTCAATAAAGGAACATCCCATTTAATTTTGGGGGCTTACTGTCTGACATATTTAAGGTAAGAAATATAGGTTAGATATGATTTTTGAAAAATTTCCTACTACCTCTTATTATTCCTCTTCCATGTTACAGAATATCTAACTGAAGGGTTTCCTAAGACCGGGAAGGAACCCATTAAGAAAAAAAACCTACCTCCTCCACCCATTTTAGCCACACATCCCTTCTGTCACTCTGGACCTTCTGTCCATAACCCCCTGTCCTTCCACTTTATCAATCACTCCCAGTCAGGTCTTCAATTCTATTGGGTCCAGCATTCCATTGACCATGTACCATCTGCTATTCACTGACTAATACGTCAGCTTTTTTCCTTTATTCACTTTTATTTTTTATCCAGCGGAGAATCCATGAGCCATCATTATGACATTTTGGCCAATACGTTAAACATCTTTGCTCCTCTGTCATTCTGTTGCATTTTGTTAGCAAATCCCAAACACGAGTGAAACCTTCTACTAGCTTTCACCATCCTCTGGTATCAAACCAGCTGAGCACTACCAGAGAAGGTTAATAAGGCAGATGGCTTATCACATTCTATGTTCTTGACCACTGACTTCAATGAGGTTTCCATGCTGCTAGACAATCCTCCTGTATCACTGGTTGGCATGTCTTCTCTCCAACTATTTACTTATTTCAAACACTTTCTACTTCTTTCAAGCCATGAACTTCTGTCCCTCCCATCTCTGTAGCAACTCATAGCTGAAGACTTTGTCTACTGATATGAAGGAGTTATTCCTGTCCTGCACAGTTGAAAATCCATGCATAATTTGTGACTCCCCCCAAAACTTAACTACTAATAGCCTGTTGACTAGAAGCCTTGCCAATAACATAAATAGCTGATTAACACATGTTTTGTAGGTTATATGTATTACACATTGTATTCTTAGAATAAAGCAAGCTAGAGAAAATGTTAAGATAATCATAAGAGAAAATACATTTCCAGTACTGTATTTATTTTTTCTTATCAAAGAAGATTTGGTTTCTTCTTACAGTGATTTCTTCTTACAGTACTATAAGACTTCTTATCAAAGAAAATCCATGTGTAAGTGGACTAGTGCAGTTCAAACCCATGTTCAAGGATCAACTGTATATCTTTCCCACGGACATTTACTTTGGGATTCACCTACAAGCACTTCACAAAAAGCATCTTCTTTGTTAGAACAGTGAAACCTCTTCTTATATACCTCTTCTTATATACCTAGGCATATAAGGTCCCAAAGTAAGTCTCATGAAAGAAGTCATTGCAAATATAATTAAGATAAAAACAACAGGCCATGAAGTGGATGTCACACATATAACTGCAGAAACTAGTAGTTGACACTGTCAACATTTTCAGAAACAGCCCATAGTTTCTTCAAATTCCAAACCATTCCGAACATTCTCTTATTCACCTTACAAATTTTAAAAAACAGACAGAATTGACATATAGCATTGTGTAATTAGGCATACAAAGTGTATGCTTAAATGTATTTGATAATTTATATATTGCAATATATAACAGTAGCATTAGCTAACAGCTCAATCACATCAAAATAATCATACATGTTTTACAATTAAAAGCTCTGCTAAAACTTGTCAAGGCAAGAAAAGGAGAATTTTTTAGTGTGTTATTTTAATAACCCGTAAATGTGACAGCATGATTTTGTGTTACTAGATCTAGATGGAGGAGAGAAGGGAGGGAGGAGGGAGCAACAAATGTCCCAGCTACAGCTTTTTTTAAGAGCTAAATATACTGCAGGATAAATACAGAACCATAAGTAATACTTAAGAAGTAACTTTGACAGCACAGTGATACATTTTTATAACAAATTATTCACGGAGGGAGTCTTGACATTCCCAACCCCCAATATTCCCTTCACCTGCACTGAACAAGCAGTTAAAAAACAAGCTCATTCCTTCATTCTGATCAGCTCTCCTGACAGCTGTGACATTAATTAGAGGTTTGGTCTCACAGGTCTGAGTGAGTGTGCGTGTGTCTGTGTGTGTGTGTGTGAGACAGAGAGAGAGAGAGAGAGAGAGAGAGAGAGAGAGAGAGAGGAAGTGAGAGTGTGTGTGTGTGTGTGTGTGTGTGTGCGCGCGCGCATATGAGGTGGTCCAAAATGAGAAAAATCCTGCAAGGGCATTCACCTGGGACACCCTCTAGAAGGATGCCTATTTCTCTCCTGAGGGCACCACCTCTTCTCTGTTGCCTACAGCTCCGTGGTGTTATAGCAGCCACTGCTACTGCTGCTGGGCTGCCTGAAACTCTAATGTGTTATTTAATTCTGTAACTACTATTAAGATCTCTAAAGCATTTTGTGATGCGCTGGAATGAAAGATGCTCCATAAAGTGAAGTTTATTATTAGTATTATTATAGCTCCCGGGCCTAAAATAAAGCAAAATTATAATCACACAGACTTCAAAAGGGAAAATCGGAAGCCACATGCGTCTTAAACACTGCCAAGCGGGCAGGGGACAGACTAGGGCGCGGGGAGGGAGACCCCCACCCCACCCCGCCCTCGCCGAGCACGCCAGCTCCCCCAGCACCATTAACCCTGTCTTGGTCGGGGCCACCAGGAGCCCGGCCGCAGCTCCCTCCCGGGCCGGGGCCGGGACCTGACTCCTCACGCAGCTCTCTGGGGGTACTCGCTCTGCCCCACAGGCTGCCTTCTTCCCAGCGCCAGCTCCGTCTCTCCGCCTAGTTTCTAATTCCTTCACAGGCACCTCAGTTTTCTCCAAATCGGTTTCTTCCCGTCTCCCACCTGGACTTTCGCCCCCCACCCCACTCCCCCAAACCAGGACAAAGCTCGTTCCTCCGCGGTCCCTCAGGTCCAGTGACTGTCTCCCCACCAGTCCCCTTCCCCGTCCGGGACCCGCCAGCCCAGCCTAGGTCTCGTCGCCCCTCCGCCACTTTTCGCTCAGCCTGGGGCGCCGCTCCCCTCAGCCCGAGGGTCCCGCTCGCGACCGCGCGTCTTCTTCCCCATCCGCTCGGGCCCCCGGGCTCCCGGTCCCGCAGCCCCAGACGCCTCTCGCCCCCGCCCTCCTCAGGCCAGCCCCCGCCTCGCACCCTCCAGCCCCGTTTTCCCCTCAGCCGGGTCTCCCCTCCGCTCCCCGCCCTCAGCCAATCCCCCGCCCGGCCCCCCGCGCGCCCGCCGCTCACCCGCGGACTCCCCGGTGTTGATCCAGTCCGGGTTGGCGATGCTGGCGATGGCGAAGATATCGGCGGCCAGAAAGAGACATCCTGAGATGATGGTCAGTTTATCCATCTCCCCGCCCCGCTCCCCCCACCCCCCGAGCCCCGGGCAGGCCGCGGCCTCACGCCTTCCGCCCCATGGGCCGCCGTTGGGGCCCGGAGTCCCCGCGCCGCCGCCTCGCGCCCCCTCGGCCCCCGCGCGCCTCTCGCGCCCTCCGCGCGCCCGGGACCAGTAGCCGCGGTGCGGCCCGCACAGCCGGAACCGCCGCCCGCCCCGGAACTGCTCTGCTCGCCCGCCCCTCACCCGGAAGCGAAAGCGCGGCGCCGGCGAGACCGGGCCAGCTACCCGGCGGCGCCGCGACCCAGCTCGGTCCTCCCGGCTCTGCCGCTCGCCTCGCAGCCCGGGCCCGCAGCTCCGACCCTCCCGACAGCCCCAGGCCCCGCTGCGCTCCGCCGGCCTGTCTTCGGCCACCCGCCTCGCTGCCCAGGAGCGGGACCGGCACCCGGCCCGGGCCCTCACCCCGCACCTCTTCCGGCGGGCCACGCCGCCTTTTGGCTTTCTTGCCAATAATAATATCGTTGTCATTGTTGAATGACCGTTTCGTGACAAAATGCCCCTCAGCCTTTAGGCTTTCGTAAGGGAGACCGGATTGGTAGATGGGGGACTCTGCCAAGTGACTCGGGCCCCCCTCCAGCCCTTGTCACCTTGTCTTAGCATTGCCCCCTCCGTGGCGGTCAGCTCCAGGGCTGCCCCTTTACGAGATAACTGTCGACACCTAGTGGGGGTATTGGACTGGACATACGAGACAAAGTTTCCACTCTCCGGAACCTTACTTCCTGGTGGGCGAGAGACAAACACGTTAAAATTTTATCTTTAAAATAAAGATCATTTCAGGCGTCTCTTTATGTATTAAATGGGGAAGTCGGTCTGATAGCGGGCGGGGGGTGGGGGCGGCGACGGAGGCCTGTGGGATACTCGGGGTGGTCAGGGAAGGTTCACTGAGATCAAGATCATAAAGACCCGACCTGTGAGGATTTGAGCAAGGCTCCTCCAGACCGAGGGAAAAGCAAGTGCGAAGAGGGTTAGGGGAAGGGACAGGGAAAGAAGTTGGCTTGTTCAAGGAACTGTGGAATAGCCTGTTTGACTTCAGGGTAGTATGAAAAGAGAGAGGTAGGCGGAGGCCAGAGGTAGAGCTTCGGGAACCATGGTAAAAAGTCTGGATTTCAGGAGGTTTTCGGCAGGAGACTGACATGGTCTTATTTAATCTGTAAAGAAAGGATAGTGGGGGGGGGGGGGGGCAAGATTGAAAGCAGGGATACCAGCTAACAGGCAGAGTACTCTAGGAGAGAGAAATGTAGCTTTGGCCAGGAGGAGAATAGTGAAAATGGAGAAAATTGTACAGGTTTGGCTATTTTGTAGGCAAGGAAAATGGCTAACTGAAAATGGGGGAGGGGTTGAAACAAAGGCCTCAGGAATGACTCCTAAGGTTTTGGCCTGAGTGACCAGGTGTTTGGTGATACACTTACTGAGTTGAGGCCTGAGGAGACGTTTTGTTTGGATGGATGAAAGCAAGAACAAAACAAGACCTTGGCATAATTTGTTATGATCAAATACAGATGATCTCTCCGTCTACGATTCTGCTGTCTAGTGGAGGTTTCTTTCTCTTTCATGACTCATGGACCAGATCACCATTAACCCTAACTTTGGATCCAGCTTGCTCTTTCCTGGATAGTCCCCCCATGCAGCAAACAGGAGATGGGACACTCATTTTCTCCTTAAATACCACATAGGTCATCTCTAGAAAAACCTGGAAGAGTGACATCTGTCTCTATTTTTGGAATGCCTATATGTTCACAAAACTCAGCAAGTTTCAAATTCCACTAAATCCAACAGCCTTGCAGAAACTCACCGAGAGTTAGAAGTGTCACCACATAGATTGGGTGAGGAGGGATTTGATTGCTATAGACTTTCCTGTCCAAACTTTGGTCTCCTGGGGCAGGGGTGGGGGAGGATTTTAGAAATATATATTATAGCATTTAGTTTTCTCCTGCCGCAGAAATTGGCAGAGGCTGACTGATACATTCCGGGGATTCAGATATGCACATCACATTACTGTAGGAGGGCTTCACTTCTTATTTTAAGTACTAGAATTTGATGCAGTCATATTCTTGGCTTCTTATCCAGAGTCTTTGTTGCCCAGTAATCCTACATGGGGTACCTGGGTGGCTGAGTCCGTTAAATGTCTGACTCTTGGTTTTGGCTAAGGTCATGATCTCAGGGTCCGGAGATCAAGCCCCACATGGGACCTGTGTTGGGTGTGGAGTCTGCTTAAGATTCTCTCTCTCTCCTTTTCCCTCTGCCCCTCCACCCCCTCTAAAATAAAATAATGATACACATATAAATTTCTCCTTCTACCTGGGCAGTACTTCCCAGTCCCCCTTATCTCTGCCCCTCCACAAAAGTTTCTGAATCTAAGATTAAAGGATAAAAACAAGTAGTATGATGGTAACTAGACTTACCGTGATGATTTCATCATGTATATGAATGTCGAATCACTACTCTACACCCAAAATTAATATATGTCAACTATGCTTAAACTTATAGAAAAATGTGAAGTTAAAAAAAATTGAGAATTTTTTTTTAACCAGTTTAATGGTGACACGTCACTTTAGACAACAGTCATCTATCCCATTCATTCTTTCCAACCAGCATGGTGGGGGTGGGGAGGAGTGGACAAGGGCCAAATAATCTGTTTACATATTTCCTCTTAATCCTGTTTTTAGCCCCACATCTCATTCTTGACTTCCAGTGTATCTGGTGTTTCACAGTCCCAAGCCTCTCTGAGATCTATGGGATAGATCAGTTCCTTTCTCCTCCATATCCCAGTTTAGATTTTAGTAGACACAAACCCTAAGGGTTAGGAGAGGTGGTATGATGGAACAGAAAGGATACAAAACTGTTTTCCAGTCCCACCCCTTCTACTGCCTTGAACTTGGTAAAGTCCTATCACCTCCTTGGGCCTCTTTCCCTCCTCTTACTTAATAGACTCCCAGAGTCATGCACTCTGCTGCAGTGATAGAACTTCCCCAAACCTTCACCCACCCATAAGCAAAGCAGCTGGGACTCTTCTCTTTGGAGAGAGATGAGCCACAAGGATCCTTAAGGCAGAAAATCCTTACGGGCCCAGAAAGCCCACAGGAGGGATCTATGTTGGCAGCCTGGACTCATAAATAGGCATCCTGTGGTTGTTAAGGGGCCATGGACATGGTGTGCTTTATTGTGATGGATGGTAGGCCTTGGCCCAGCAGAGGCTGAATCCAGATGGGACCTTGGTGAAAGCTGTGGAGGGGAATTGTGTAATCACTCTTCTCTTTAAGGAGTATCTTTGGCCTGACAGGATAAAGAACACACTGCTTCCCCAGGGCGGCGGGGGGGGGGGGGGGGGATATTAAGTCCACCACACAGGCCAGGAGTGTGGTGGATGCCCCATACATATGTACGTGGGGTTTCTGGGATTAGATAAAACAAAAGAACTAAATCCACAGTTTAACAGTTTGTGCCTTGGGCTCAAATCTCCTTTCCTTTCACAGACGGGGTTCCAATGGAGCGGACTCAAGAGACAAGAGATTATCAATTAGCATGCAGGGAGTTTATTAGGGAGTGCACTCGTGAGCAGGGGAGGGGAGGGAAGGCAGCAGGGGAGGCCAAGGGAGCAGTTTGGTAGTGGTGCAGGCTTTGGCAGACCCCATGGGGAGCTCTGAAGCTGGGATGGCTGCTCCGGGGGGGGGGGGGGGAAGGAGCCAAGGCTTTGTGTTCCTGCATGGACTAGTCACCAGATGCCAGCTGCCCCAGGAGTGGGGCACGAGCTTGGGTGAGGCTGCTCTTCGGCCAAGAGCAATTCCTTGAGAGGGCTGACAGCTATGATCTGTCAACCTCCCACCATCCTAGTAGCTGGGGACTGGGTCCTTCAGTCTTCAGGGGGACCAGGTAGCAGAGGGCAACATTTGCACAGTGCACTCCCTGTGCTATGCAGAACCACCTGTTTCTTTTCAGTTCTGAGAGCAGGACCTTGGTGGAGATGTTTTCCTGTGGGAATCTTATAAAAGGAAGGTTAGCGGTACAAACTACAGCTCCCACCACTGCTGCAGGTTCATCTCAAGGCGTAACTGACACACTAATCACTTTCCTCCTCTCCTGCTACCCTAGATTCCTCTCACCTTTGCTAGCCCCTCTGTGGTCTAGGTGGCTTACATGGTGAGGTGGCTCAGACCTCTATCCCTAAGGAGACTGAGCCACTGGTTGCCATGTATTTCTCAAGCTCTGGCTGCTTTGTCCATTTACTGTCAAAACAGGGCAAAGGAGTACTAAGAGATACTCAGGCAGATCATATGGGTGCCAAAACATTCTGTTTTACTATGGTGAAAAATTAAATGGTCTTAGTGTTCCCCTGGGCCTCAGGCCATGTACACACCTCCTCTACTGGGGATGGGACCCTCATTATCACCTGGACAGCAGGGGCATCCAGCTCTAAAATCCCATCTGAGCATCTACGCTCTTAGACCATCTCTGGCACTAGCAGCTGCGGGTTGGGTCTAGGAAACACTCGTGAGTTGCGGGGAGTTTCTTAGGGAGTGCTCTTGGGACCCACACCTGTGGGGGGAAGGAGGGGAAACAACCTGGCAAAGAAAGAACTCAGGTGACAGCAAAGCCACAGAGGGACCTCAGTGGACCCCACAGGAATTCTGGAGCTGGGACTGCCCTCCAGAGTTGCTTGAGTTTGACTGAGGGAGCCAGGTTTTTACCCTACAGTGTCGGACCACTGGATACTAGCTGTCCTGGGAAGGTGTAATCTTGGGCAAGGAGCTCAGCTAGAAGCAGGGGTGGGGTGGAGGGGCAGGAATAAATCCTTCAGTCCTGAAGGGGGATCTGGGCAGCACAGGATAGCAGCCATGACCATTCGTATCCTGCAATCCCACCCATCAGTGTGATCTTGACATCTGCCTTAAGGAGAGTTTTTCGCCTGGGAGGGAGGGAAGGCAGACCCCCTGTGTGCCGGGTGCTGATATGCTCCCCTCACCAAACAAACTCTCACCATCCCCCCTACTCAAAGGAAGATGGAGGAAAGGATGCATTTTATGGAGGAATTAATTTGATGTCAGGACAGACACCTTGCCAGATGGTTTGGAGGAAGAAACTGGTGATTGGGCATAGGAAGCCACCTGCTGGAGACTCCTTGAGGTGAGAACACCAAAATGGACAGCTCTATTCATTCCCCTTTGTCTCAGCTTCTGCTAGACAGGATTTATCTAACGAAAATCTGCCTTGATTTATTGTCTGGCTAGAGCCACAGAAACGGCCAACTAAACAGGAACCTGCCCAGGCTGACCACGGAAATCTCTGCACAGTGCCCGACACCTTATAAATGCTTTTTAACTATTTGTTGAAAGCATAGATGCAAAGTGCTTACCCTCTCAGCGTCGTCAGAGTGGGGAATGACAACAGGACCCATCTCATCACGTTGTTTCCTATTTCTTCTAGAATATATTTTTGATAATATATAGTTTCCTAAAATTGTCCATTTCATCTGCTTTTTAAATCCGAGTTCCAAAAGGAGAGGACCCTTGTTTGTCTTGCCTACTATTGTGTTCCCAGCCTCAGTACAAACCACAAAGCGGGCTTCCCGTAAATATTTGTCCTATGAGTGAATGTGTGTGGGGGGGGGGGGAGGAAAGATTATTTTGGAAAAAAGAAGGAAGAATTAATTCCTCTCCTAATCGTGACTCATTTTTTTTTTCGAGCCACCCTTGGCCTTTCCTCATTCAAAACATCCATGAAAACAGTGCACTTCCAGAACAATTGGCGCTGTTGGTGCAACAATATTTAAAAACACCATTACTGCGAGAGCCGCAAGGGGCTTCTGCGCTCTCCTACCGCCTTCGAGTTATGATCTTCCTCCGCAGACCACTTCACATCTTTGCCACACCCTCCTCGGTGCTTCTTCCATCCTCCCCGGTTGTTTTCCAAGAATGGATGATGAACCCACTGTGAGCCAGGCACTGTGCTAAGGCCCCCCCGCCCCGCCCCGCACAAGTTTTGTTTTTCTCCCCTCAAATTTCCACTCACTCCACTTTCCGGGGTCCACGGAGGCCCTGTAACCGCACAGCTGTCCAACTTCTGCCCCCTGGCGGCCATCCCGAGGAGCAGCGCCCGGGGTCTCCTCGCCACTGGGCGGTCCGCCCCGCCGCCCGCGGTCGGGCCGCAGTGCGCCGGCTCCTCGCGAGTTCGAAACAGTTGGGAGTTGGACCCACTCCAGCTTCGGCTCTGGGAGGCCCTCTGAGGGGCCTGCCCTCCTGGGGCCATGAAGAAGGCCGTCCTAAAAAACAAAAAAGGTAACTGGGGAGTGGGGAGAGGGCGACGCCTGGGGGACAAAGCCTTCATCACTTTTACTCACCTGTGAAATGGGACCGAACGTCAGACTCTTAGCCTGGGAGGTAGCTTCTCCCCATTGTTTGTTTACTAAACTATGCTTTACATACAGTAAGAGTCCTTCATTGTTAGTGTATAGCTTCGAGTTTTGACAAACGATGACCCACACCATCAAGATGAGGAGTTCAACTCCAGCCCTCCCCTGCCCCCACCCCCACCCCCACCCCGGTTTTGCGCTGCCTCTTTGCCACCAACCTGTACTTCCGTGCCTGGCGCTCCCTATCTCTCTCCTGTAGTCATCTGTCTCCTGCAGTTTTGCCCTTTCTACGGAGAAGGTGGAATTATCAGGTATGGAGTATTTTGAGGCTGCCTACTTTCCCTTAACCCTGCTGGCTTTAGAGACTGTGCTTCTTAGGTTATCTTATCCGAAGCTCATTTAACTTGCAAGCTGAGGTTGGTGCTCAGAGCCTGCTAAGATGCCGCTTCTCTGTCTGTTCAAGAACTGGAGACTGAAGGAGGGGTACGACCTCCTGCAAATCTCTCCTATAATCCTGAACAATCTCCCAATGTGGAAGGAACCTTCTTTACACTAGGTTCCTTTATTTCTTTTCTAGAGAGCATCTGTGGTTTTGGGGGAAGGTGAGGTTGGAGATAAGCTCCAATGCTTGCTCAGGAGGGAAGGGCCAGGAACCTGGCTGCAGGCCCACACCTGGGGGTGGAGGGCCTGGGAGAGCCCCTCCCTCAGCAGTAGAGACCACTTCTGGGCCCTCAAAACACCACAGTCCTATGGATTTGCCAAAGGCTCGGCAAGGAGCGGTTTGTCACTTGTCCTTGAGGAAAAGTATGCTGAAAAGGAATGTCCCCAAAAAGCTTCCTGTGGACTGAAAATAAATCTTCTGAGAAGCTTCCTCTTGAGAGACCAACTTGTTTTAAATCACTCCACAGCCTGAAACTTCTCTTTTGAGAGTTAGTTCCGTAGAAAACATATTTCGACACCCCTCCACCACCACCCATTGTCCCAGATTTTCCTGCCAAATGATCTTTTCCTGCTATTTCCACTATCATTGCCATGGCATGCTTGGGTGATGACAATAACACTTTTTGATTTCCCACTTCCACTCTGGACCCCATAATCCATGGTTTGGTTTTGTCTTAAAAAAAAAAAAAAAAAGCCAATCTTACTGTGTCCTGCTTAAATCCCTCCTCAGCCCTTGCAGCGATGATGTAAGCCTGTGAAACAGCCCCGGTGGTCTCTGCCTTTGTTCCTCCCACCTGCCCCATGCATCTCTCGCTCTCGCTCTTGGTTCTTTCCTGTCTCCAAGACTTCCTTCCACTCTCCTTGGTCTAAATATTTCCTGTGGGTCCTTCTGACCTCCATTCAAACGTTACCTCTTGCATGAAGCCTGAACTGCCTTCTCCACAGGATACCTTGGCCTCCTGTCGGTCCCCCTCAGAGCTCTCTATACTTTTCCTTCATAGTGTGTGTTACCATTTGTTATTCGACATACATTGATGTGACTGATGGATATCTGTCTCCTCCGTTAAGCTGGAAGATCCATAAGGGCAAGAAATTGTTGTTTCCTAGCGCACAGTCTGCCTCAGAAAAATTTATCAAGTGGAGAGATGATAACTGACGTTAATGAAGCACTCAGCAGGGGCCGGGCACTGTGCAAAGCCCTTCAACTGTCTCATTTATAGTCATAACAAGCCTCTAAGCTAGACATTTATCGTCCTCACTTTACTGACGGGGAAACTGAGGAACAGAGAGGTTCCGAAACTGCTCCAGGTCCCCAGTCCTAAAACTGGCTCTAGCACCCCAGTGATACTGTCATGTTGCTGTCTAGGTGACGGACTGAAAAAAAGTCTCCCTCTTTTCATTAGAAAAACAAACTGGCTTCAACGTCAAGTCCTCTGTGCACAACTTGAGCAAAACTCAGCAGACCAAACTCACTGTGGGGAACCTAGGCTTGGGCCTGATCGTCATCCAGAACGGGCCCTACCTCCAGATCACCCACCTCATCAGGAAGGGGGCTGCGGCCAGGGATGGAAAACTCAAGCCAGGTGACTGTGGTCTTCCCCCTGCCTCCCTCCTGTCTGCCTCCAGGGAGACTCAGTTAGTAGGTGTTAGTGTAACCGTAATAATGATAATACTGCTTGAGAGCAGATTTCTGCATGCCAGCCCCTGGCTATCACTTTATCAACCCTCACTGTGTTAGGTTTTTATTCACCAAATTCTCACCTTAAGTCTGTAGGTAGGAGCCGTTGTTATCCCCCTTTCACAGGGGATGAAACGGAGGCTCGGTGAGCTTGAGTTCCTTGCTTGGGTTCACCCACACACACACCGGTACGGTGTCACTCCAGAGTTTATGGCTCTTGGTGGATAAACCTTCCTTCTTGCGTGGGCAGTGTGAATCATCGTTAGCGTTCAGATGCATGATCTCACTTCACCCTCCTGACAATCCCTGAGGTCGATTGTGCATTAAACCACCTTACAGATAAGAAATCAGGTATTTAGTAACTTGTCCACCAGGGATCAGTGGCTTGAACCCTCTCTGTTGCACTTCTGAGCCCAAGAAACACCACCCTGCTTCTCTTGTCTTGGGGTGAATGATTTTTTCTTCCAGTTAGAGACGTGTTTTCCAGTGCCTGCTCCGGTTCTAGGGCTGTGCTTGGGAGCCAAGGAGACACGATGTGCTGCAAGGGTGGTGAGAGGGAAGAGCCACCTGGTTTTAGCTGCTCTGCTACTTTGTAGTTCTGTGACCTTGGGCAAAGTCATCTAACCTTCCAGGTGTAGGTCACCTCATGCTCTGATTTGGGATAATACCACCTTTGTCAGAGGCAGCTAGGATTTGGAGAGAGAAGGTTTATGAAAGTGCTTTAAAAACGACAGTTCGGTGGGAATACTGGCAGTCATTTCTCTTAGGCTGTTCTTAGTTTCCAGACTTGGGTTTTGTTGTTGTTGTTTTTAATAAAAAAGGATGGTGGTTCAGTGGACTAAGCCACTGATTTGTAACTCTTACCTATTAGAATCACCTGGGGAGCTTATAAACCTGAGATGGCTACGCCCTGTTTCCCCAGAGGCTCTGATTCAATTGATCTGGGGCTGGGGATGGTTAGTTCATGGTTTCAAAGCTCCTCAGGTGATTGAGTCTAAGTGCAGCTCCGGTTAGAAGCAGTGGGTTAAAGAAAAGATAAATGATGCCGTTGTGAACATTTACCTCACCCTAAAATCCAAAACATCTTCTCCAAATGTCACTACTTGATGCTGGGGCACAGAGTACCAGAAAGAGAGATCTGGACTTTCCAGACCAGAGGAAGTCCAGGACAGGTCGTGTGAACTTTTCTGCGTGTTCTCCTTAGCTTCTCTGGGGTCAGGTGACAGACACTGGTCGATAACCAGAGTACATACTCGCTGGAGTGCGACAGGAGTGTGTTTTTATGCGTGGGAAGCAGGACCTATGGTCAGTGGGCTCCTTGAGGTCAGAGGCAGTCTGGAATTCATCTTTTTTTTTTTTAATTAAAGGTTTTTATTTATTTATTTGACAGAGATCCCAAGTAGGCAGAGAAGCAGGCAGAGAGAGAGGAGGAAGCAGGCTCCCTGCTGAGCAGAGAGTCCCATGCGGGGCTCGATCTCAGGACCCCTAGATCATGACCTGAGCCGAAGACAGAGGCTTAACCCACTGAGCCACCCAGGTGCCCCAATAAAGGTCTCCTTTTTCTTAAGTTTTTTCTATTTGGTAATTTCTACACCCAATGTGGGGCTTGAACTCATGACTCCAACATCAAGAGTCACATGCTCTTCTGACTGAGCCAGCCAAATGCACCTGGAATTCATCTTTTAAATCCAGGACTTAACCTACAGTGCTGGCACATTTGGTATGTCTGTGCTTGATAAATGAATAAGACATATTTGTCACAGCCATCGTGCAAGGAGTTTCCGCATCCATGTTCTCATTTAATCTTTGCACCACTCCTGAAAGGTGGGTAACAAGACGAGAGGGTTGGTGAGATGAAGGAAGTGGGTCAATGCACAGAGCTAAGTGGATGCACCGGGCTGGGGTTCCAGCCCATGGGCCCCATGAAATCCTGGAAATAGGATTTCAGTATCAGAGAGAGTCCAGAGTCCCAAATCTCTACATGATGGTCATTTCCCTTCAGTGTCTTGGTTTCAGAGACTGGAATTCAATGCTTTTGACAATGATTGAGAATTTCAGAGGTGACAGTCCCCCAAGCCTGCTATTTCTTTGACCACATTATCTCCCAGCTCCATTGTTTCTTATCCATGTGCATCAAATTTTTCTCTTCTGGCGCTTTAAAATAGGGTTTCTTTTGATTTCCTAGCTTAGTTTAGTGTTAGTTTATTCTGGCTAAACTTTATATTCCTTTTGGTCAGGATGGTTTTTTTTTTTTTTTTAAGATTTTATTTATTTATTTGACAGACAGAGATCACAAGTAGACAGAGAGGCAGGCAGAGAGAGAGGAGGAAGCAGGCTCCCTGCTGAGCAGAGAGCCCGATGCGGGGCTCGATCCCAGGACCCTGAGATCATGACCTGAGCGGAAGGCAGAGGCTTAACCCACTGAGCCACCCAGGCGCCCCAGCTGGGATGGTTTTAAGTATAGTCTGATATCTAGAGTCTTAAGAAATTAGTGTAACTTTGAAGGCAAAATACAAGTCATATCCCAGCCACATTCATTCAGTAAACATTTCCTGAATGCCTACTGTGTGCAGGTATCCTGCTAGGCATGGGGTTATAAAGGTGAGCCAAACAGATGTGGTCTGTAACCACCTGGAGCTTATGGAACTCACAGCCTCATCGGGAGAGATGGAGAAAAATAGGCAAATCTATTTTTCAGTAGTGAGTTGGCTGCTGCAAAGTTGATTTAACGTAGGTAATCGAGACAAAGTTTATATAATAATGTGGCTCCTACAGCCCATTAAAACAGAAAAAAAAACTGTAATGAGTTTGATATTCATAAATACCACATTGGTATGTCTTAATGAAGGGCAACGTTAATATCTGTTGGCAGAGTAATCACATTCATACGACGACATGCTTGGTTCACAGCCAGGATCGTCATGGAATTACGCTGTTTGTTTTCTGTCCTCTTGATTAAAAAACACGCTTTAACAACATAATTGAGCAGAATGCCAAGCCGTAGCTTTCAGCTATAAATGCTTCTTTTAACATTAGGCATATAAGCTTGTCCAGTGAGGGGTGTTTGGTTTTGGTGGTTTTTGTGTGTGTGTGTGTGTGTGTGTGTGTTTTTTTTTTTTGCAGGTGGGTGTGCTGTTGTAATTAACCTCCATAGGATGAACAGCTGTTCCATACTGCATACACTGCAGGCAGCTGGGGAAAACCTGTTTCATTTAGCAGTTAGCTGCAGATCCTTGGCTGGTTTTACCCTCAGCTACTTTCTAAGACCGAAGTAGGTTTTCTCCACCCTTCTAAGTCTTCATTTTCTTTACAACTTTCAAACTTCAGTTTCTGATAGGAAACTAGGACCTAGCACTATGAAAGTTTGTCTTTGGCATTCCCCAGAGGCTTCCTTTGAGATCAGCAGAATTCTCAACTATCGCACAGTGGGGTGTAGTCTCAGAGAAGTTGCTTCATCCTCTTAACGGAGGTTAGGCTTCTGGCTGTCTTGCAAAGGGGGTAATTGAGGGCCCCTAGCTTCCCATGCACAACGAGATGAGCCTCCCCTTTGGGACTTAACTGGAGTCCCTTCATCTAGTGTTAGCTATGAAGTCTCCATTAACCATTCGGCAGGCTGTTCTAGGAAGATTTGCTAAGATTATACTCACTGTGAGCCCCTCAGAAGTAATTTCTTTGTATTCCTTCCTCTCTTGCTGGGTGTCCTTGTGGTAGTCAGGATTCTTCACTGCAACCAATAGAAAACCATTCTATTAAGGCACTGAACTTAGAACAGTGAGTCTGACAGAATTGCCGGAAAGGCTGGAGAACCAGGCCTCGAAAACGAGAGAACACAGGGCCATCTGTAACTACCCCCCGCAGCAGGGTGCTCTTGTCACGCTTCTGCATCTCCTGCTCCGGGTTCAGTGACCCAGGTGGGCTTGCCCCATGGCTGGATCTCCTTTACACGTCCATGCCTAAATGAGTAATTACTCTTTTTAACACCCACTTTGGGGGTCCAGGAGCTTGTGATCAAGATGTGGTTTTCCTCCCACACGGTGGGGGATCAAAAGCTCCATGGTTGACCGTCACGCTTCCCTCCGTGTCCAGCAATGCCCTAAAGTAAACAACCTAGCTGTCAAATCCCTTTAAGCAACATACTCCCTGTACAGACATTGTAAGCTTAATGAAATCGTGCTACATGCCCAGTGTTTTTCATGCAGAATTATTTGTTCAACTAATACTGTGCAAGGCAGGAAATTAAAATCAAAGTCTTGATGATAATACCAATGGAGGGCATGGAAATTGCCAGGCAGGTACAAGAGAAAGTAGGTCATTTATTCACTTAGTGTAAGTAGTTTTTTAATAGTAATAGCTATTTATTTTACTTGAAACACACACATTTTTAGAATCTTAAGTGATGGCTCAGATTATAGATGGTTTTTAGCTCCTGACACACCAAGGACTAAAGAAATGCAGTAAAAACGTGAAATAATACCTACCATTACACCACTATTAAGAAACATCTTGCATGCATTCTCCATTATGCAAAGGACACTCATGTCACTGAGATGACCACTTTTATTAAATAAAGGCTGAAGCCTGGTTTGGGTTCAGAATGAACCAACAATATGAACCCTTAAAATAAAACACCTCACAGTAGAGCCAGAAGTGCTATGAACCCACTGACCCATTATCTTGATTTTACTGATAATTTTTTCCCTCTTCAGGTGATGTTCTGATTAGTGTTGGCCATGCCAATGTGTTAGGATATACTCTTCGAGAATTTTTAAAACTTTTGCAACACATCACCATAGGAACAGTACTACAGATCAAGATTTACCGAGATTTTATTGACATACCACAAGAGTGGCAAGAAATCTATGATTTAATCCCTGAGACCAAATTCCCAGTAACGCGGTGAGTAGATCGTTTTTTTAGGAAATCTTTTGTTATGCTAGCACCCCCGGGGCCGTTTGCAGCACTGGGTCTTGGTTTCTTGGGAGAAGGATCTGCTGGACCAGGGTGGGAGGGATTGGTGAAACCACCACAATCATTTAGTGGGTTCTGAATCCTTCTGGAAAAGTACAATCTACAGGACCTAATGTGAGGCAGACTGATGAAGGTGAGAGCCCTGAACCTGGGGTTCTAAAGAGAACCGTCCGATGGGAGCTCTGCCACTTGTCCCCTTGTCCAGAGTTGGCCTTAAACACATGCTATGAATCCCATCGCTTCATTTGTCTCCTGCACGTTCAGCTTCTCTCTGGATCCTTTTCAACAACATGGAAGCCTTATTTTAGGCCTCTGCCCTCTTCACAAACCCCACCTTGAGGCCGCAGTCCTCTCCCTGCCCCCCAGCCACGGTCCTGTCCCTTTGACTCCAATCAGGTAGAGAGATGCTGTAGCCGTGGTGGGCCATTTCCCCTGGAGAAGATTTCTTGGGCGCTCTGCCCCACTGCACCTTAGTGAAGGCCTTGCTTTCTCCACCTGGCCAAGAGACCTCTTGGCAGGGCCACCCACAGCCCTCATGCTGCTGACTCCAGTGGACTCTTCTCAAGTCTACATTACACTTGGCTTCCGAGCAGCATTCGCCACTGTACAACCCCACCCCCACTCCTGTTGAAATACCATCTTCCCCAGGCTTCTGCCCTGCCCTTCCCTGGGGCTGAATCTTTGGCTTCCTTGTCTCAATCTCCTGGGCCATCTCTCACTGATGCCTGTGGTTTCTGTCCCTCTCCGAATATGAGTGATTTTTCAAATCGTATCACCTTCAAACTTGTACATTTAAATCCTTCCTCTCCCACTTGGTAGCTCCATTTGGGTGTATCATGAACCCCTCACACTCCTTGTGCCAAAAAATCAAAAGCCAGCTCACCACTGATATCCAGTGGCTCTATCTTACTAGGCGAACATTTGCCTAGCTGAACAAGTCAGAAATTTAGGGGTTGTGCTAGATTTCTCCATTCCCTTCTTTCCACCCACAATAATCATGAGGGCTTGTCATTTTACCTTCCAGCTATCTCTCACATTTGTCCATTTCTCTCCGGCCACCACTACCACCCCAGTAAGAGTCACCATTCGGTCTCTACCATCCACTACTGTCCCCTATTCATTCTCTACACAGAACAGTCCTTTTACGATGCAGGTCTGATTTTGACATGTTCCTGCTTAAAATCTTTTAAGACCTTCTGTTCTCGGGACAAATGCCCAAATCCTTGGACTGGTCTATGCTACCCCATGTGGCTAGTGTCTGTTTCCCACCAGAGCCTCACCTCATACTGCTCTCCTCTGCCCTCTCTAGTCCACTTTGGCTCTCAGCTTTTTTGCCTTCTCTTTGCCTCGGGGCCTTTGCACTTGCTCTTTTGTCTGCAACATGCTTAGGACCCCGTCATTACTCATCCTTGAAGGCTTACAGTGCAAACTTTTTCCAAGAGGCCTCGCTAAATTAGGAAGCTTTAAAACACTGTCTGGTCCACCCATCTTATGCTTTCAGGGCAACCTGTGTATCTCCTTCACAGCATTTCTCCTAATTTCAAGGACGTAATCTGTATCATCCATTGTTGACTGTTGCTCTGGGAGAATGCAAATCTCTGCCATTATGCTAAATCTACCATAGGACTTTCCCATGGTTTCCTTTATTTAGAGGGAATGAAAATTAAAACCCAGCTTTCAAGGTCCAGACAAATCACTTAATCTCTGTAACCCAGGAGTGCAAAGGACCCTTCGGCAGGTCAGACGCGTGAGGAAGGTCTGCAGAGCATAACATGTATAACATGAGATCCTTTTCCTTCAACAATTCAGTGCTCTGATGCAAGAGTGGTCCTTATTAATTTGACAGAATTTCTGAGCTAGAGTTGCTACAGCTGTGTGTATCTTTGGTTATTGGGATGGACTCAAGGAAATCTAGCTGGGGACTTTACTAAGAACTAAAGGATGGCCCACATTGCATTGACAATATTTCATATAGTCCCACTTGTGGTCCAAGGGACTGATACGGTCAACAGATGTGCTTTGTTGGTCTCCCACACAACATTTTGAAAAGCCAGAATAGCGGTGACCTAAAGAGAAAGGAAGATACAAGGGGGCTTTTCCAGGCGCCAGTACTCTTTCTTGACCCCCCCGGGGGGGGGGTGTGGCTACCCAAGTGTTTATAATTTTTTTCCATTAAACTGATCTTTTTTGCATTTTTCTGTACATTTCAAAAATGTTTAAATGAAAAATATTTGAACTTACACATCTAAGATTTCGTGGAAAGTATCTGCACCTGTGGTTTCTCCTGAAATAATCAGAAGATGGGCTTGCATTCCCACATGCTGACAGCGGGACTCTAGCTGGGTAGAGTTGTCTGTCCCCTTAGATCAGGCACAGACTGGGGACAGGTTTTACCCCCCAAAAGCAAACCAATCATGATGTAGTTAAAAATCATTCATGATAACACTGCTTACTATGCAGTTGACATTGTTTGACGAGCATTATACCTCTTAATCCTCAGGCCAAGGCTTTTTATTATCCTGATTACAGGCAAGAAAACGGAAGCCAAGAGAGGTGTATGTAAACTTGCCAGAGGTCACAGGGTCTAACTGTCACTAGGCCAGTCTCCAGAGCAGCAATATTCTAGAAGAACTTACTGTCATGGTGTAAATGTTCTCAATTTGTGCTGTCCCACGTAGTAGCCACGATTAAGCACGTGGAATGTGAGGAACTGCAACTGGGGAATTTTAAATTTTATTCAGATTTAATCAGTCTAAATTCAGCAGCCACACACAGCTGGGGACCCCGTACTGGGGAGTGCAGCTCTCAAGCCTGGGTTCTTAATCATTTGTTTATAGAATGATTATGTTTCTAAGCATTTTAAATGTTCAGAGTTTGAGATACAGAATATTAACATCTAAGAATGGCAGACTGACCATTCAAAAGCAAAGAAGAGAGAAACAGAAGAGCACAACTCCAGTATGAGGCTAAAACCCATGGATTCAGAAACAAGAGCAGACACTTTCTGAATCCCTTCCTTAACAAAGTGCTTACATCTAAGGCACTTTGGTAATTACATGGAAGGGGACAGGGAAGGAGCACAAAAGGAAAGAAAAGGCTTCTTACACAGAGCTCATAAAATCTTTTTCAGGAGCAAATGGCACTTCATGCACATTGGAGAATATTCCACATAATACTTTGGGCAGACCTAGTAGTCTAAAAATGGTTTCCAACTAACTCTGACCTCTGCTGGCTTATGGTTTTATAATCATACTTCAGTTAGGAAGAACCTGGCTCTACTACTTATTCTTTATAGTTACCTAATACTGAGTTACAAAGGATATTCTTTGCCATCTGGGAAAAAAAAAAGCAACATGGATTCCCCCCGCCCCCCCATTCACAAGCTGCTCAGGAAGTCCTGGGCATGTCTGAAGGCCAAGTGTTCTGATCCTAAGATCTTTTGAATCTCTTTGCACCCACTAAATCGAGGATGAAGGAAAATCCACATTTTAATGATTTTCAGTGGTTCTCAGGGAGAAAGACTCAATTACTAATTATTACTAGAAGAGAGAAACTTTAGGAAAACCTGTTCAAATTCTTGGAAGCACACAGAACAGTCAGGACTGCAGGAACAGTAGTGATGACGCGAGCAAGTCTGAAAGGTTGGCGGCAGGGAGGGGCGTTGGGGAAGAAAGGAATTCCTATTTCCTGGAGCAGGGCAGATGTGCCAGAGGCCCATAATCACAAAGACCAGGATGGGGGGGGGAGCAGGGAATGGCATCTGTTCGGGGGAGTAGTAAGTGGGCACAGGGACCGCAGGTTTTAGAAAAGCTGAAGAGGCCTGCAGTTGCTAGCAGGCCAGCGCTGCCCAAGTTTCAACAGTCAAGAAAGCCAGGAGTTGGGGATGTGAGGGTGATTGGGTTGGCCAAGCAGGTGTTCCCCCTCCTCCCTCATCGCTCACGTGCATCCCTCTGGAAGCTGCGTGCTCGGTTGAAGAGGACGTCTGTCCTTCGAAGAGGTATGAGGAGCTGTGCTCCTCTGCTGGACCCTCCAAACAAGCTCTCAAGAAAGTTAGAAAAACATCTTTGAAAAGCATCTGGCCAGAGGGGCTCGTGGGTGGCTCAGCTGGTTAAACGACCACCTTCAGCTCAGATCACGATCTCAGGGTCCCGATATTGAGCCTCCCATCAGGCTCCCTGCTCTGGGGGAGCTTGCTTCTCCCTCTGCCTGCCGCTTCCCCTGCTTGTGCTCTATTAAATTAAAAAAGAAACCAAAAAACATTTGGCCAGCAAGAGATAAGTAGAATGCCGAACAAGACACATCTGGACATAGAGGGCACTGTGTAAGTCCACGCTTTTAAACCCAAAAGAGAGGCAAATGATGATGCTCAGGAGAAAAAAAGAAGACTCAAAGATTTCCCGATCACTAGTGTGTTGAAGATCTTGGAGGCCCACTAATTTCTGAATATGCTGGAAATTGGTAATACCCTGTTATTGTGGTTATTGCTGACCCCATGTGACCCATTAGAACAGAGCTCTGTGGAGATGGCTAGGTTGACTATCATTCTGGAGGCAAATTAACCTACGCTTTAAGGCCAGCTAATATTCTGGTCAGTACTCTGGCTTAAGTTAGTACAAAGCAATGTGAAATGATCCAAGGCAGAATTCGATTTACACTTAGGAATGGAAACAAACGTAAAGGTACTTTTTTTTTTTTTTTAAAGATTTTATTTATTTGTCAGAGAGAGAGTACACACAAGCAGGCAGAGAGGCAGGCAGAGAGAAAGGAGGAAGCAGGCTCCCTGCCGAGCAAGGAGTCCGATGCGGGACTCGATCCCAAGACCCCAGGATCATGACCTGAGCCGAAGGCAGCGGCTTAACCAACTGAGCCACCCAGGCGTCCCCCTAAAGGTACTTTTAAAGAGAAAACCGTCAACAACACAAAGTGCTAAAGCTAAATCGTATTCTTTCTTTTATGAACCAAAGCGGCTTTTAAGACATCTTGTTAGGGGACAATGAATGTTCAGACAATTAACAGTCCATTTCTTCTTTTTTTCATTTCAGCCCAACAAAGAAAACTGAGGAGTCAAAAGATGACCTTTTGGCAAGCAGTGATGACAACGAAGATGTAGTTTCAGATAAAAAACTTAAGTATTATAAAGACCCAGGGTCCACTGGGCCTCAGTCTGCAACAAGACCGATGTCTATCTCCAGAGAGTGGCATGGATATAAGAAGAAGAACCATACCATTAGCGTAGGGAAAGACATTCAGTGTGACGTGATGATTCACAGAGATCACAAGAAAGAAGTGAGAGCCCCTTCTCCATACTGGACAATGGTGAAGCATGACAAGGAGAGCTCCTCCTCCTCCACGGCCTCCTCCACCTCAGATGCATTTTGGATGGAAGACTACGCCCAGGCTGAAAAGAGCAAGGTTCCACCTGTAGCGAAAGCTGCCACCCAGGCTGAAAAGAGCAAGGTTCCACCTGTAGCGAGAGCTGCCACTCAGGCTGAAAAGAGCAAGGTTCCACCTGTATCGAAAGTTGCTTAGGAGGCAGTCTGCAAGTTGGTGATCACATAAGCATCTATCTTGAACACACCCAACTTTTGTGCATTGCTCTGTACAGGTTTGCTATACTTACAGTAATATGTGCAGACTTTTCAATTCTTTCACAAGTGCATTGTAATGCCTTCAGAGACCTTCTTCCATGTGATAGCCAAACACTGCCCTGGGGCCCGACAGGCCTCACCACCTTATTCTCAAAATAGCAATGTCATTCACATCATTCACACACTCCCTTCTGAGAAGAACGTCTCATCTTTTACAAAATGCAGCAGAGGAACCCAGGGTCAGAATGCATGAACATAGAGAGAATTTCACTTTTTAAGGTAAGTATCACATTTTTATTTAGATATTTAGTTTCTCTTGTTTTGCAAACTTCAGATGCCCTACTTAAAATAAGAGATGTATTTTTCTGGCTTGTTGTTCACATAACAATTTTTTCCCCCTTTTCAGCCCTAAGAAACAGAAACAGATGAGCGAGAGGGAGAAGATGAGAAAAAAGACAAAACTCTGTGACACAAGTGAAGATAAATCTGACATAAAATGAGGCAGGGGGAACATAGGATATGACTAGGGAATTTATATTTTTAGGAAATAACTCTATTCCAAAAAAGACAGGGGGTAAAACCCAACTAATTATTCTGACCCAAGAGGACAGATTTTTCAACTGGTTTTATCTCTAAAAGCCATCAATAATTATCTTAATTTTAATAGTTTCTGATGCTTCTGGACTCTATTATTATGTTCCTGTTCTCCTTCACAGCATCTAAAACAAAGATCTCAACATATAATAAATACTTGATTACCAATAGCAAAGATGCAAGAAAAACATTTAAACAGAATGTTTTATTGACTTTAAGTCAGCCGGGGATAATTACCTGTATTTATATGTTAAGACATTTCACCTCATTGAAAAAAAAATGTTATATTAGAGATCTTTGACTTTCATGTGTTTGCTGCTCTGGGTTGAGAACATGTTCAGCTCTTCCCTGCAAGTTGTGTTTCAGTATTACAACTCATCAACAAAAGGTGTATGGCCCAGATTTCCACTTGCCGCCATTGACTTCCGGCCCGAAACAAACTTCTTTGCAGCCTTTAAACAAACAAAAAAAAAAAAAAAGAAAAAAATTAACAGAGATAAGAGAATGCATTATCCAGCAGACAAACTTATTTACCCCATTATTTCAAGAGCGTGTAGGACCAGGCATCCTGAGCCAGCAGCTCTGTATTAACCTCTTGTGAAGTTAACTATAGGAGAGGGCTGATGCATTATTTCAGTTTGGGACACTATAAGAAAATAAGCTTGGGTGTTCTGATGAATGTTCCCTCCTATGTGTGACTGAGCAAGTGTGATACTCCAGATCTGAGGGTAGCTGTTAAGTGGGGGGGGTAGGGAGAACCTCACTGACATTGCAAAATAGGGCAGAGGCGGCCTCAGGCCGGGGAGTACTCTGCTGCTTCTGTATTATAATAGCAAATAGTCTGAGCCAGTAAAAATATACTGTTAACATAAAAGTCAAACTTTCTCCCACTGTGTTCCTTATGCCACTATTTCAAGACCAGAGGCCGGTCGTTTCGGTGTACCACGAGTAGCAGCCCCCATGTTCTGTAAAGCCAGCTTTTTCATGGAGACACAGTGCTAGAGGCAGCAGAGGCTGGGACTCACATGACGATCATATACAAGAGGAGGAGAGCCATTTGGAAGAGTGTGAAAATGACAAACTTAGGGGCCAAGTGAAATCGGGCCAGGACTACTACCTTAAAATAACCTCTTTCTTTTTTCTATCCCCACTGTCCCTACATAAGGTAGAGCTGTTGGTGAGAAGATGGCTGAGACCTCTGCAATGCAAGAGGAGTTAATATTCTTAATATAGAAAGAATTGGGGAAAACCCACTGATTTTGGATTTATTCTGTAGTTCATATATTTGTTAGGTACAATAGAGAATACAAAAAGGTATAAGACGTAGTCCTTGCCCTCAAAACAACTGAACCTCACAATAATATATGTTAAAAAAAAAAATACACCAATAGCAGGAGGAATGTCTTCGGCTGAGAAGATGAATGGAAATCCCAAGATGCTGGGACGTGCAGGACTGGCACGACAGAGTTTATTTCTTGGAAGGAGAATCACATGAAAATCACATGAAATTGCCACTATTCAACTCTTCTTGACCTTTTGGAATTTGAAATGGTTTAATCTATTGGTACTTCAGCTGAATGAGGAAACTACACACACTGAGCTGACAAGGAAGCCATCTGCAGATGTGATGGGGATGAGCCCCTCCCACCACCACACCAGCCAGGGAGGCACCAAACTTCAGGACAGGGACATACACAGCCCAGGGGAGCTTATGCATGCCTTCTGAGATTGGATCGCTAAGTTCAAATTATTTGATGTAGAATCAGAAGTTTTTATTTGCTCACGTTTACGACATCAGCGTCAGCTACGGAGTCTATCTGCTGAAGGACTGTGGCTGGCGGCGTGTACGATCCCGCACCCAGCGCCTGGGACCCGACTTCATCCAGGAACCCCTCAGAAGACTCCACTGACATTAGGTAGCCAGCTTTCAGCTTGTTCCTGTCCAGTAAAAGGTATGTAACTAAGGCAGAAGCAGTTTTATAAGAGCAAGGCAATCTGAAAGTATGTTCTCAAACTCAAACCAAATAAAGTATGTTTTCAAACTCAAACATGTTTTGGTAAATACACAAATTAACAGCCCTGAAACCTTACAGGGCTAAAGGCCTCCATTCTGCCTTCAGTTCATTAGTTATGTGATTATTTATTTCGAAAACTGTCAATATGAGCTTATACTGGAATCCCAACAGACCTCCTTCCAATTTTAGACTAGAACTTAAGACTACCTTAATGTGAACTTTTGATTAGTGAAGTAATGATTAGGAGTTATTACTCTTGCCTCCAGTACTTTTCTAGTGATGGTTTTAGGTATTTCTATTAAAGCAGAACACCTATGTGGGGTCTTAAACACTGTCTACTTAGCAGAATACTGTGTGCTGATTCTCTTATCTACCTGCATCCCCCAGGCCCATTTCTATACTGAGATTTGTCTCAGTGAGGGTGGGGCGTGACTGAGAAGGACAGTAGAGGTCTTACAGTCTTTGCAGCTTAAATACGGCACAAAGCATGAATCTGAAATAAAAATCAATTTATAATTCTCTCAGAAAGAAAATGGGTGTTCAATAAGGCTCTCGAGTAATTTAACTCTAAAATAAACTATCCTTGTTTGGTACTCTGTAGCAAGACTTGCATTTACACATAATCATAATTTAATGCAGCAATTTTACCACAGTGTCTGCTTAATTTAAAAAAGATTTTACCTCTTCCCCCCACCCCCAAGAGAGGGAGGGTGGGGCAGAAGGAGAAGGAAAGAGAGAATCTCAAGCAGGTCCTATATCCAGCATGGACCCTGAGATCATGACCTGAGCTGAAACAAAGAGTTGGACGCTTGACCAACTGAATCACCCTGGTTCCCCAAAGATTTTACCTCTTCACTCTAGGCAACAAACTGATGGCTACCAGAGAGGAGGTGGGTGGGAGGGATGGCTGAGAAAGTGATAGGGATTAAGGAGGGCACTTGCTATGATGAGCACTGGGTGATGTATAGAAGTGTTGTATCATTGTATTATACTCCTGAAACTAATATTACACTTCATGTTAAATAACTGGAATTTAAATAAAAATGTAAATTTTTTTTTACCTACAGTAAACTTTACCAAGAGATTATTAGTTTGTCCCTTCACAAATGATACCTTACTTTGTTTCTTTCAGTACAGGAAGACTAATAAGAACCTTACAAGAAAAAGTATCAACTCCATCAAAATGGCAGAAAACAAACATTTCTCAATATTAATAACTGAAATTCTATTTTCTATACGTTGCCGTACCTTATAAAAACTGTGCTACACTGAAGGAAATATATTTTCTTAAATAAATTAGATATGAAACAGATTTTTCTTAAGTAAATCCAGTGTTTCAATTTATTCTCATCATGTTTTGTTTGTGGTGCAATCATGCAGAACTGCATCCTATTAACCAATCCTTTGTTCCATGTACCCATTACTTAATAAACTGTACTGTACTGTTGAAGAGATGCAATTTTTAGTGTGTTCAGTATAACAGAAGTAATAATGTTAATGGAACAATTTGAAATGACCGGGAAGTTGTTCCTTCCTGGGTCGTAATTTGCCTGTCATACTTCCTTTGTGGGCAACACTAAATGACCATGAAGACAGTGTGAGTTTCATGATTCACATTTTGAACTGTCCTAAATGGATGGAGTCAAATATAAGTGTTTTAAAGTGCTGTATGAAAATGCAAGCTGATTTCCAGCTTGGTCCAAATTATGTCTTTTTTGTTAGAGAGACTCGGCAAACTACTGAATGAGAGATGTTGCTGGCACTCCCAGTGAAAACAGTGGGCATTTAAAAACCACCAAGAATCAGACAGGTATTTCAATCTTTTAATCAGATACAGTGATCTGCAGGGGATACCTTCCAAGAACCCCAGTGGATGCCTGAAGCCACGGTTAGTACCGAACCCTATATATACTGTGTTTTTCCTAACATACATACCTATAATTAATTTATAAGTTAGACACAGTAAGAGATTAACAACTAGTAATAAAATAGAACAATTGTCCTGCACTGGGCTCCCTGCTCAGCAGGAAGCCTGCTTCTCCCTCTCCCACTCCCCCTGCTTGTGTTCCCTCTCACTGTCTCTCTCTGTCAAATAAATAAATAAAACCTTTAAAAAAAAATAGAACAATTGCAACAACATGCTGTAATAAAAGTTAATGTGCATATGGTCTACCTCTCTAATTTAAAAATAACTTATTGTCCCATACTCACCTTTCTTGTGATGATGTGAGATGATCAAATGCCTACGTGATAAGATGAAGTGAGGTGAGTGATGTAGTTGTGTTGTGACATAGTGTTTGGCTACTAATGACCTTCTGACACTTAAGTCAGAGGGAGGATGATCTGCTTTCAGACCATGGCTGACCCCAGGTAACCGTGGAAAGCAAAACCACGGATGGTGGGGGGAGTGGTGGGGGAAACAAGTGGTATTTTTTTTTGGTCTATCCTATCAGTAAAGAGGTTAAAAAAAAGAAATTGCCAATGGTTATGGCAGAATAGGCACTCTCATATATTGGTGGTGTGATTATAAACTGGTACAACCTTTCTACACTAGGACTTTGAAATATAAAAATAAACATATAAACACTCACATATATTTGAACAGACTTTAATATTTATTATAACTCTTGACTCAGCTGGGAATCTATACCAAGAAGATACTATGAAATACAAAAATATTTTAAGACCAAAGATACCTTTTATAGTTTATATTTCCAACTATAGGAAATGTCCAACAAGTGTATTTGGATACACCAGTTAATACTGTTTATAACGGATTTTTAGTAATCTGAATAAATGGAAACATCACTATAATGTTAAAAAGAGGAATCATTGGTACGGAGTAACAGGTCATTTTTGACTTCTTTATGTGTTTCTTATATTCAAATTTCTACAATAAACATGCTATTAAAGAGGATATAAGGGGGCGCCTGGATGGCTCAGTGGTTTAAGCTCTGCTTTCGGCTCGAGTCGTGATCTCAGGGTCCTGGGATTGACCCCCGAGTCCAGCTCTCTCTGCCTGCCTCTCTGCCTATTTGTGATCTCTCTCTCTCTCAAATAAATAAATAAATAAATAAATCTTAATTTAAAAAAAAAAGATGTAAGTATATATAATAATAGTTAATAATTATGTTAAAAATGTATAAAATGTCAAAAAATAAGCAAAATATTAACTATCTCTAAGTGGCAGGATGTGGGGGTTTCCCTTTTATTTATTTATTTGTGTGGGTTTTTTTGTTTTTAAATATTTTATTTAGTTGACAGAGATCACAAGTAGGCAGAGAGGCAGGCAGAGAGAGGAGGAAGCAGACTCCCCACTGAGCAGAAAGCCCAATGCTGGGCTCGATCCCAGAACCCTGGGATCATGACCTAAGCCAAAGGCAGAGCCTTAACCCACTGAGCCACCCAGGTGCCCCTTCCCTTTTCTTTTAAATACTTTTCTGTACCTTTCAATCCTTTTGGGTATATGTCACAACAACAACAACAAAAAACTTGCAAATAGCTGAAACACAAAACACAGTTAATACTGCAACTTACTTAGCAGCTTGGACATCTGCATTGGAAAGGTTTCCTTGAGCAATCGTTTTTACTTGGTTATAGGCAGCCTTGATAACCTAGGGTAGACAAGAGAAAGCTGGTCATTTCTGATCAGTGCCAGAAACTCCTGAAGTAATCAAATGCTCCTCTACAGAGGTAAAAACGTAAGACGTAATAAGGTTGGTTCCAGAGAAAGAGAACAGTGTCCAATTTGGGATTCTTGCCACTATGTGTTCCTTATTCTTCCAGTGTTCCAATAAAGCAGCTGTTTGTACCTTGGAAATGGCCCAAGTAGCAAGCTATGTCATTCATTCATTCATTTATTTATGGTGGGCAGCAAAGCAAGGTTTATTGAGCGATAGCAAACTTTATTATTGAGTGATAGTACAAAGCTCCCGAAGAGGGAGAGAACCCCAGAGGGTTGTCTGGAGCCAAGCTTTTTAGAAAAATAGTGGCAGCACAGAGAATGCCAGGATGGTTTAGGAAAAGCCATTTCTAATGCCCTGTAAAGAATAAATACCTCTAAAATCGCCCCAGACTCTCAAAGCATCATGGAATTAATACTGCTATCCCTTACTACTCATGAAGAAGAAAGCAGTAATTCACACACAGCTGATTTATAAAGCTTATCCCTGCCTGGGATGTCAGAGTCAAGAAGGAATCAAGTTCCAGTGATGTGGGTGGGCGTTTGACAAATATTTGTTGGATGTATAAGTTCATAAAATCAGTCCATGATTTTCTCCATCCCAACCTTGGTACCATCCTGGGTCACTGACCTATCCCTATTCACCTACATTCTGGGACCTTCTTTCCCTGCACAGCCACACCCGACTTGGATGTAACCTGAATTTGCCCTCTCTGTGAAATCCTTCATTCCACAACCCCTGGCCTAAGTCTTTAATCACACAATCCTTGTTCCACTTTATCAAGATCTTTGGTTCTTTGAATTGTCTCCTTTTAATCAAGTCCCCTGGCTTCAGTTCTCTGGCCGAGATCCACAAATCACTCCTTTAGTCACTCTCGTCAGTGTGCCCCACTCCCTTGCCATCTGCCCATACTTCTGACCTGCCCACTTTGCGGGCTTCCAACCCTGGATCAACTCCACGACCTGCCCCCTCCACTCTTCCATCAGAAATACTACTGAAGAAAAACTATGAAAGGACCAATACGTGACGATATGTGTAGTAAGTGTCGTACGTGACTACGGTAGGAATTTGGGGTTTCTCACCTCCAGGAGATACCCTGTTGATGCCCATTCTATATGTATCTAGCCATTCATTTCTCCCAAATCTCGTTATTTTAACTCTCCTACCTTTTCTTACTCTCAAGACATGACAGCCTCCTCCCTCACTGCGATGTACTTCCCCATCTTGCCCCCAGCAGACTTTGTGTGCAAGGCTAACATGTCCATTTGTACTCTGCACCCCACCCGCTCACGATTTTTCAGACCCGATCCGTTTATCATTTCCTGTGTTCTGTATCTGCTCCAATCTTTCCCTTCAGTATGAATTCTCTCCCAGCTCAGTCTCTCAGTGTAAATTCTCCTAAAACTACTACCTACCTCCCCTGCAAATATGAGTTCCACCTGCCAATGCCAACCTCACATTTCTTCTCATTCATTCCTTAACACTATAAATTTTAGCTCACTTCTAACACTCTGGTGAAAACTGAAATAATATTACCAGTGATGTCCTGGTTTGCTATAACCACCAGGGCTCTCCCGTAATTAACTGAATGTTAATCCAGAATGGATCAAAATGGTGTTAACCATTCTCTCTTTCCTGGCCTTTTAGAAATACCAGTTTCTCTTCTTCCTTTCTGGGCCATTTCCCCTAGTCACTTGGTGGGACTCCCCAGGAATTCAAGCTTCAGTTTTCTCCTACAGTCTTTCACACACAACCCTGACTTCAACACAATCTCTACATTGAGGACATATAAGTTGGCCTTGGTGTCACCTGAGTTCTCAACTGACATGTCCCAGAGAGACAATTCAATGCCACCTGCCCAAACAGAACCAAAATACCTAGGAGACACTTCTTTCCTCTTTCCTGGAAGCATGAATAAACTTTTTTTTTAATTTTAAATTTTTTTAAAGATTTTATTTATTTATTTGATAGAGATCACAAGTAGGCAGAGAGGCAGGCGGCGGGGTGGAAACAGGCAGGGAAGCAGGTTCCCCACTGAGCAGACAGCCCGATGCAGGGCTTGTTCCAAGGACCCTGGGACTATGACCCGAGCTGAAGGCAGAGGCTTTAACCCACTGAGCCACTCAGGCGCCCCATGAATAAACATTTTTAAGTTGGTTCTAGGCAGACACATGGTAATGATATTACACTATACAGAGCTCTGATCAGTCATGGCTTTCAAACACTATTTTTTTTTTTACTAAAAACATGTTAATGGAGGAAAAACACTTGTGAGAGTTGGTGAGTTTGCAACTTACATCTCCAGCTGCGGCAGCCTGTGAGATGGTGTAAATCCCAAAGAGTCCAGAATCCGAGTAACTGGCGTTAAAAGCGGAAACCTGAAATATAACGAAATTTTACTGTATGTCATTTTACCAGAGAAAACAGGCCAGATTTCCCAAATAGACAAAAACCTGGGACCTTCCCGGTACAAGTGAGAGATGAATTACGATTTCATGTAACCAGTCTGGCAAGGACTGCAGTGTTTCGGATTCGGGTTACTTCTTTCAAAACCATAATGGTTTTAACATTTTTCACTTAAATCTTTCTAAAACAGACTGCTTGCTTTACTTTTTTGCTAGGTATTTTCTAACGTTCTTTGATGATTAAAGGTTAACATAAACATTTATTTGTGAACAGTATTATCACAGCTGCAGGATGGCTGAGTGGTACAAACTGTGAGCTTTGGTATCAGACAAGCCTGCTGTGTTCCCTCTGCTAGTGCTGGGGACCTCTTTTTTTTGCCAATTCACTTACACTTCTCCTACAGACTAAAGTCAAAAGGTTGGGGGAAAATGCTCAGTAGACGTTATCAGACATCCAAGGTAGCCGCAAGTTCAGCCTGAGGACTGGGTATTGCTGTCTGCAGTCTGAGCAGAGTGTTAGGCTCCCTAACGTGAACACGAATGCTCAGTGTCGTGTTTCCCAGTGTTTATGTGGACGCTTTACATAAAGATCACCTAGGCTGTTTTTAAAAATACAGACTTTCAAGTTCCTGTAACAGATTTACTCAATCAGATCCCCATAGATATAATCTGGAAAGCCACATTTCAAAAATAATCCCAGGTGATTCCTATGCACGTTAAAGTTGGAGAACCACTGGCTTAGCCCATAGAAAGCATAAGAAGAAATGCTCTTTAATGATTTGAAGTTTAATTACAATTTTGAGACGATCCTATTCATACCTCAAATTTCTGACCAAATGCTAAAGTAGGAATTTCCATTAAATTACATCACTGATCAGAACTGAACTGCAGCCACCCAAAAGCATCATTAACATTCAGTGGTAAAGAGAAGCATGAAGAAAACAGTAGCATGAACAGGAAAGAGGAAACATAGAGGGGATTTAAAAAGCAGCAGCTAAATTTAATGTAGGACTAATTTAAGATAACGGTTTTCAAACTATGCTCCAGGGAACTCCAAGATTCTACAGAGAAAATCCCAAGGCATTCAGTGTCAAGTAAACATTAAAAAATTTCTTTAAAAGTAAACATTTTTGTGTTCAGCATTGCAGCTGGGAAACTGTATGGGATGAAAAAGGTTCCCCTGCTTAAAAAAAAAAAAAAGTTTGAAAACCATCATTTAAGAGAGAAACCCCCTCTAAAAGCCTTAGATACAGGAGAACCATTTTAGATTTCTATTTTTTTTTAAAGGTTTTATTTATTTATTTGACAGTCAGAGATCACAAGTAGGTAGAGAAGCAGGCAGAGAGAGGAGGAAGCAAGCTTCCGTGCCAAGCAGAGAGCCCGACGCAGGGCCTGATTCCAGGACTCTGGGATCATGACCCGAGCCGAAGGGAGAGGCTTTAACCGACTGACACACCCAGGCGCCCCCCATTTTAGATTTCTAAATCAACATGACCATATATAATGAACTTTGCTCAAACCAAAAGCCTGATTTCTGGCCTGAAACACACAAATGCACCATACATCTGTTTTGTGAACGAGTAGCCTACAGGAAAATCAGGTTATCCTTAAAATAATGATCAGTGCCCCTACTCCCTGTATTCCTTTACAATAAAACTTTTGATTCCTGCCTATATGCTAATCTATAAATCTTTTGAGCTTTTACAAAATGTAAAAAGTAAATAATCCTGTAAAAACTGTTCATCCTCCAGAGCCTTTCTTCCCTGTGAAGAGCATGTTCCCAGGAGCGCCTGGGTGGCTCAGTGGGTTAAAGCCTCTGCCTTCGGCTCAGGTCATGATCCCAGGGCCCTGGGATCCAGCCCCGCATTGGGCTCTCTGCTCAGAAGGGAGCCTGATTCCACCTCTCTCTGCCTGCCTCTCTGCCTACTTGTAATCTCTATCAAATAAATAAATAAAATCCTTAAAAAACAACAACAAACAAAGGGCATGTTTCCTGGGCAGCTGTCCTGACTTGGGCTCTAACAAAACTCTTTCCTACTTTTAGAAATTCTGTAAGTATTGTTCATTTTGGATTGACAGTATTAAACAGAGGAATGAAAGAGGGGTTGACTTTTATTTCTACTCTTCACGGTCAAATGGCCAAAGACTACCTACTTGTGCCATGTACTGTTATAAAATCATGAACAATATTTAATCCTATGATGTAGTATATTTGTTGCCTTTTAAAGGTTTACCATTGAAGGTCATGTGGGGTATTACATTGGGCAAACAATGGACACTCATTAAAGCAGTCTGCTCCGACACTTTTTATTCTTTTAAGTATCATTATTTTGAAAGCTTTAGCACTTTACTCACTGTCATAAAAAGTGTTTTCTAGAGTAACAGCTTTTTGTTCCATCATTTTCCTTTTTCTTTTTAAAGATTTTATCTGAGAGCGAGCAAGCGAGTGCACACTTGTACAAGCAGGGGGAGCGGCAGGCAGAGCAGGGTCCCAGTGAGCAGGGAGCCTGATGCAGGGCTGGATCTCAGGACTCTGGTTATCCTGGCCTGAGCCAAAGGCAGACACTGAACTGACTGAGCCACCCTGGCGCCCCTCATTTTTTTCTTTACTTAATCTCAAACCGGAGGGATGGGTGTGTAAACAGTTTCTCAGCGTACATGCTGTACATTCGGTTGGAAAACATGAGGAGGGATGAAATTCATGAAATAGCCACAAGAACACAAAAGGAAAAAAGAAAATCCAGAAAAAAAGACTAACTAGAATCTAGGAAAATGTTTAATATCTGAAACTTTATCCTAAAGGGCACTGAAGGATGAATTTCTGATTTTTTAAGCATTCCCCTCTTTCTATACTAGAATAACTGAAAAGACAGTAAGTTTTTTCTTAGACCCTAAGGAACTAAACTCAAGCCGGGCTACCTCTTCAATTTTATGAAGATTTTCTTTGTGTTCACCTTAAATTTTAAAAGCAGATCAAGAGGACTACATGATACATATGGAGCCTTTACAAACAAAAGGACAGATGCTGACTATTCAGACTCACATCAAATGGCTGGTGAACTCCCTTGGCAACAGCCTGGTACAGAGAGCTGGTGGGATTGCTGCCCCTCTTGACATGTGGTCCGGCACCAAGAACATACTGGAGAACACTAAATGCATTTGCTTCCGCACTTCCTGTGGCAGCACTTTCAGCTACAAGAGCAGCGTGAACAAGACTGTCTCCATTCTGCTCTCGGATTTCACCTGGTGCCAAGTAAGGAGAGAGTGAGGAAGAAAGAGGTTTGGTCACCATCGGCTTTATTCTTCCGTATTCTCTACGACACAGTATTAACCCAGTAAGATTAAGGTTTTCTGTGGCCTGGTGCTCCCAGCATACTGTCTTGCTCTCCCCACAACACACACACAAAAATGTTTAATATACAACACCCGAGCAATCTAATCCCTTCCTTACACAGAGTCTGTTTGGTGGTAAGTGATCAGGCCTATCCTACTCTGATACACGATTCTGATGGGACACGTCCTTCTGATAAACCGGCCCTAACAACAAAATGCTTACCTCCACGGTACTTGGCCTTCGTACCAGGTAAACCAAGCCCACCCCTCATGTTGAGAAACTGTTCTGCAACTTGCTTTAGAACAGGGTGACTCACACCTATTTCAATAGAAACAAAAAAGAGCTAGAACCATAATTTTTAAAATACAAATTGTAAAACATCTGTTTTAAAAATAATAAGGGATTATACAATTCAAGTAATTACAGAACCAGTAAAGAAAACAAGAGTCCCCCATTGCCATGTTACTCTCCCAGAGATTCCATTTATAGTTCACTAATACGTACTCATCTAGAACTATTTTCTATACTTGTATGAATATCTTCATTTTCTTTTCTTTTTAAAATGGTGTTATTCTATTTATATTGTTTCTAACTTGTCTTTCATAATTTATATCTGAGTGTTCTAGAGCAAACATTTAACAGCTATAAAGAATTCCATTATATATATATATATATATACTATCACTTATTTAATAAGTCCCTTCTTGATGGACATTAGCATGTTTCCAATCATTGGCTATTAAAACAATACTGCACTGTGCATCAAAGAACACTTTTTTTTTGCTAAATTGAAAATCAATTAACATAGTGTATTATTACTTCCAGGAGTAGTTTAGTGATTCATGAGTTACACCTAACACCCAGTGCTCATTACATCATGTGCCCTCCTTAATGCCACCACCCAGTTACCCCATCCTCCTTCCCACTTCCCCTCCAGCAACCCTCAGTTTGTTTCCTACAGTTAAAGACTCTTTTGGTTTGTCTTCCTCTCTGATTTTGTCTTTTAGTTTTCCTTCCCCTTCCCCTATGTTCATCTGTTTTCTTAAATTCCACCTATGAGTGAAATCATTTGATAATTGCCTTTTTCTGACGGACTTATTTCACTTAGCATAATACCCTCTAGTTTCACCCACATTGTTGAAAATGGCAAGATTTCATTCTTTTTTGATGACTGAGTAGTATTCCACTATATGTATATATACCACATCTAAGAACACTTTCAAGAGTGAAATGGACCTATAGACTGGGAAAAAAATGTTTGCAAATGATGTATCTGATGAGGATTTAGTATCCAAGTACATAAAAAACTCTTACAACTCAAAAATAATAAAAAACCAACCCAATCGAAAAATGGGCAAAGGACTTGAACAGACATTTCTCCAAAGAAGATATACAAATGCCCCAAAAGCACGAAAAGATGTTCAATGTTATTAGTTCTTAGGGAGACACAAATGGAATGAGATACCACTTCACAGATGCTAGGATGGCCATCACCAAAAAGGTAACAGTAAGTTCTGGTGATGACGTGGAGATACTAGAACCCCTGTGCGTCATGCGGGGGGTGGGGGTGGGGGATGTCAAGTGTTTCAACTGCGTCAGACAACAGTTACCACAGGTCCTGGCAATTTTATTTATGATATACCCTGAAGAAGAAACAGGTTAGAACCACCTGGTTCTAACTAAAATGTATATATGAATGTTTTTATTTACAACAGCCAAAAGTTGAAAACAACTCAAATGCCCAAGTGAGGAACAGATGAACGAAAAGTGGTAATTGAGTATTTTAGCTAGAAAAGGGAAGTGAACATTGGCACGTGCTACAGTATGGATGGACTCCGAAAAGATGCCAAGTGAGAAGTCAGTTATAAAAGGCCATATACTGTAGAATTCCATTTACATGAAATGTTGGGAGAGTCAACTCTACAGAGACAGGAAGGAGATTGGAGGAGGTGGGATAAAGAGTGACTGTAATGAATACAGGGTTTTGGGGGGGTTGATGAAAATGTTCTGAAATTAGATAGTGTTAATAGTTATAACACCCGCTGAATAGAATAAAACTCATGGAACCATATACTTTAAAAAGGTGGATTTTATGGTGTTTGAATTGCACCTCAATTATGTGATTATTTACAAAACTAATGAACCGAAAAACAATACTGCAAATAATATCTTGGTGCAATTATTTTGTAAAACTGATCAACTGTTTCTGTAAGATAAATCCCTAAAAACAAAATCGCTGGGTCTAAATGTATCAATATTTAAAATTTTAATACATTTAAAGAGACCTCCAAAAATATACGACTTTCTATTCCCACCAACAATTTTTGGGAATGCTTAATTTCTCCATACCCTGGTTAATACTGGGCAGTGTCAATCTTTTAATTTTTGCCAATCTCATGGGTTAAAATTTTAACTATCAGGCAAGGCTCTCTTTTATAATAACTGGCTACACACATATACACACACATTTTCCCCATGAATTATTTGTGCCCTTCACCTATTTTCAATTACATTATACTTCTTTAAAACAAAAAACTTGTAAAAGCACTTTGCTTAGAGAAATTTGCCCTTTATCACAGATTTTTCAAATACTGTAATAAACTCAAAGCCAGTAGTTTACATAGTTAAGTGTTGGAATTCTGCTTATTAACACAAAACAACCTACCAATTAAGATCCTATCACACAGTACCCGTCTGACATCAACAGAGGACTGAGTTATCAAATATGGTTCAATCCTGTGCTCACATAACTATAGCTTAAAAAGACTACTCTTAAAGAAACAGACTGACATGCAAGCAATTCCCAACTTACCAAGTCCAATCAAAGCCATTCTCGCACTTGTGAAATGGTTCTGAACAAAGTAATGCAACTGAGAAAATTAAGAACATTTTGTGAGGTTATGTTGGTATAGATACAAAAAGCTATGAAAAATTAAAACTGCAGGGCGACAGAAAATACTCAGGCTTAAAAGCTACTGTAGTGAGCTACAGACTAGTGCTGAATTATACTGCTTTTATTTTTTTAAACTATTGATTAAAAGAACTAGAACTTAATGTGTTAATGGTTACATGATGGTGAATATAGTGAAAACTACTAAATTGTGTGCTTTGTTCTTTTTTTATTTTCTTTATTTTACAGAGAGAGAGAGAGAGAGAGCGCGCGCGCGCGCACACGCCCATGAGTTGGGGGAGGGAGAGAGAGAATCTCAAGAAGGATCCATGTCCAGTGTGGAGCCTGACATGGGGCTCAATCTTATGACCCTGAGATCATGACTTGAGCTGAAACCAAGAGTTGGACACTTAATCGACTGAGCCACTCAGATGCCCCTAAATTGTACACTTTATGTAGGTGACCTGTATGACATGTGAATTGTATCTCAGTAAAGCCATATTGGGGAAAAAAAAAAAAAAAAAAAAAAAGGATTAAAAAACGACCTGAAGAGGCACCTGGGTGGCTCAGTGGGTTAAAACTCTGCCTTCACCTCAGGTCATGATCTCAGGGTCCTGGGATTGGGCCCTGTATCCGGCTTTCTGCTCAGCAGGGACCCTGTTTCCCCCTCTTTCTCTGCCTGCCTCTTTGCCCACTTGTGATCTCTATCTTTGTCAAATAAATAAATAAAATCGTAAAAAGAAAAAAAAAAAAAAGGCCTGAAAAAAATTAGAGCACATACTGGCCTGAATTTGAAAAAAAAAGAGACTACGCTTATGACTTTTATTATGTGATTTTAGCAGACGTGAAGCAGATTTCTTTCATCTTTATCTAGATTTTTAAAAAAAGTACTATTAACATTTTTTTTTTTAAATTAACATTTTATTGTAGGCCTAAAACCTATCCTCAACAGGAGGACTGTTGCTCCCAAGGAGTGAAAATTGGCCCTCAGGGGCAAGAAAAACATTTTACTCCTTTTATTTATAAAACAAATATATATACATGTACATATGTAAACAGACAAACAGTGTATCTGACATTAAAAATTCACTCTGAGGCAGAGTAGAAAAAATTGGCTGAAAAGGTTCCTAGGGAATGGGTCATAATGTTGAGAATCGTTAGGCTAAGGTAATGCGACTGAATGACGTTACCAGAATTTGTGCCCTAAAGCGAATGGTGCCTACATCGCAAGTCAGTGTGGAATCACATTTTTTTCCCCTACTGAATGCTGCCATCATTCAAAGAATTCTAGTACCAATTTCTTTAGAATTTCCTTTAGACCAAGGACATGTTTAAAAATGCTAATAACTTTGAGGTAACCATGGTTAATATCTTAGTATCTTCCCAGGATGGATACACACACACCTTATTTTCTAAAAATTAAGACCCTGTGGTATATCCTATTCATAAATTATGTTTTCTACCCTGAAAATATGCTACGGAGTTTTTCCCTGTCAATATTTTTGAATGGCTGAATAGTATTCCATTCCACAGATACTTAGTAAGTTACTTAGCTAGCCCCCTAAAGTTGGGTATTTAACTTGTGTCTAATTTTTCACAATTAAAAGCAATGCTACAGCAGACATCCTGGTGGACAAATATTTTGCTATGCATGCTCTTTAGCAATCTCAATAATGTATCTTCACATGGGTGATTTTGCTGTCTGAAAAATTTCAAAACTCACAAGAGGCCAGTCTTATAAAAAATGTTCACTGTTCAGGTTGAATGATACCAGTTTTAATTTTTTAAAAGTGCCATATGAATGCTAGGCATTAAACTATTGATTGATAAAGTGAAGAGTTTTCTAACCAGGAAACAAAAGACTACAGAGATAGGATATATAGTTCAGTTTTCTCTAGTGCGTAACCAGAAATGAAATGAGAATAAAACCTTAACTTCTGAATCATAGACACACTTTGCAGGTATTGATAATTTCCAATTTTTCTTTTAACGTTTTTTTTTCTTTTTTCTTTTTTTTAAATTTATTTGTCGGAGAGAGAGGGAGAGCGAGCGAGCACAGGCAGACAGAATGGCAGGCAGAGGCAGAGGGAGAAGCAGGCTCCCTGCTGAGCAAGGAGCCTGATGTGGGACTCGATCCCAGGACGCTGGGATCATGACCTGAGCCAAAGGCAGCTGCTTAACCAACTGAGTCACCCAGGTGTCCCTCTTTTAACGTTTTTGATAAAACATTTTCTTTGCAGGATGTAGGAGTAGGAAATTAAGATTATGTACATGCACCTGTACTTGTAGGAGATACACTTTGACATTGAAGGTTTCACATTTTGGATGTGAAGTTTTATGTTACATATATGGCTATGATATATATGTAAAAAAGTAAGCAAAGCAAAGTAAGGCCAGGTGCTGAAGGATGCCAGTAAGCTAGTGAGCAGCCTGACGATGGATGGGGAGGTGACGTGGGTTCATTCCTACCTGCATACTGAGCTGTTAAAGGAAGACTTTTGGTCAAAAGATGAAATTTAAAACGTAAATACTGTTTAAAAAAGATAAATATACACAGAAAAAGGTTCAGAAGAAAACATACCCAGGCATTAACATTCAGTGCCTTTAGGTATGTGAGATTCTTTTTTTTTTGGCTTGCACTCGTTTTCTGAAATGAACATGTCCCTTTTGTGAGAAAAACTTCTTTTAGTAAAAGCTGTAAAAGTTGTTCAGATAGATTTCAGTTAAAAAGGCAAGCTGATGGAAAAATTAAAAAATAAAGCCACCAGGTGAATTTTTAAAATTTGAAGATAAAAAAAAAATTAACAAACAAACCTAAAATGGCAGATGAATATTCAATTTAATGTGAAAACAAGCATATTTTAAAATGTAATATGCTTTTATCAGTACCTCATCTGGTGTCACTTTTCCAATCCTATAATCAGGACAATACAGAGAATTGGCCAAGGCATTTCGGTAAGCTGCAGCATGCAGATTTTCAAGGACATCTGTAAAATAAGAAAATAACTTTTTGCGGAAAAGTAATTCAAATAAGACAATGTTTTCTGAACCTAGAAAGCAACTAGACTATACAATTTTGGTCACCTTATGGCATTCAAATGTCATGAGAGCTTGAAATTTAAAAGTCGGGCTGCTGAATGTGCTGAGAAAAGTAAGAAAAATTATATATAACAGCAGCTTCTACATACCAGGGCTCACCTGACCACTTCTCTAACTTTAATCTACCTGATATCATCTGGAGAGTATAATGGCCTGGGTTTCAAGTCTGAATCCAGTTACAGTTCTGCCACCAATGTACCGTGTGACCTTGGAAAAGTCATTTACCTTGAAGTTACTTGTACGGTCTCTAAGTAATGAGTAGGTGTCAGGTTAAGAAGATATATGGAGGGTCAGCTGGGTGGCTCAGTGGGTTAAAGCCTCTGCCTTCGGTTCAGGTCATGATCCCAGGGTCCTGGGATCGAGGCCCGCATTGAGCTCTCTGCTCAGCAGGGAGCCTGCTTCCTCCTCTCTCTGCCTGCCTCTCTTCCTACTTGTGATCTCTGTCAAATAACTAAAATAAATCTTTAAAAAAAAAAAAAAAA